GTCTGGAATCAAAAGGAGCGAGGGTACTCCAAAAGGAGACAAAGGGAGCTGAAAGGAGGGGCAACACCGAGGGTCAAGGGTTTGACTCAATGGTGTTTCCCAAAGGAGGAGTGAAGGGCCAAGGCCCAAGGAGGAAGGGAGGAGGAAGGGAGTGGGGAATGGCCAGCTGACTGAATAGAAAGGAAGCAGCAGCCCAAATAGGAATGAGGGAGTATAGCAGAATTGAATGGAGCAATGCAATAGTTGCAAGGTCCGCCATAAGTCCGGAAAGTCTGAACTCGGAAGTTAAACTCCGGAATATTGGCAAACGTAATTAAATGGAATGAGCTAACCAATACAATGGGTATAAGCGGAGGTGGGGTCAAAGTCCGAGGTCGGAGCTAAGACCGGAGGTTCCGGAGACAGAGACGCAAACAGGATTCCGGAGTGGAGTTCCGGAGTCGGGAGCATAGGTGTTGCATACTCATCTGGAAGGTGTCGAGGTTGAGGTTGGACCCAGGATGTTCCAGAGTCGGACCAAAGGTGGTGTCGGAGCCGGAGGTGGGATAACCTCTTGGGAGTTGGCAAGGAGAAGGTGATGGAAGGGAAGTAGGGCTCCAGAATCAGTTTCGGAGTTCTGGGAGCCCAGAGCGGAGGTCGGGATTGTACGGATATGACAGGGCATGTCGGGGCGTGCCCTGACACAACGGTCCAGTGTATGCACTGACATTGGGCAAGAATTTGGCTAGATACTCTATGAGACCTAGGAACCGAAGAACCTCGGTGTTACAGGAATGGGTTCTGGGGAACCCAATCTGAGCCATTCTGCTCACGGATGGAGGTGACTGTGTAGCTGTTGGGGGGAGAGCAAGAGGAGATCCGAGGCCAGGTGTGCTAACGGTGACTTGGCACTCTGAGGAGTGTACCAGCAGTGGGTGTGGTGGTCTGCTAACGGTGACTTGGCACTCTGAGGAGTGTACCAGCAGTGGGTGTGGTGGTCTGCTAACGGTGACTTGGCACTCCGAGGAGTGTACCGGCAGTGGGTATAGTGGGGGCTCCTTGAGGGAGCCACCTAACAGTTGGCCAGTGGTGACTTGGCACTCATGTGAGTGTACCGGTAGCGTGGGTAGTTGGCACTCCTTGAGGGAGTAGCCCAGTGGTCGACTATTGGTTACTTGGCACTCATGGGAGCGTACTGGTAGCAGGATTTGTTGGGACAGGCAGGTTGGTTGACCAGTGCACGGTAGTGAGTGACCGTGGGAATTTGAGCCCACGGGTACGCGGCCAGGCATCCTGGGGCTGCCTGAGTCACTTCCCCCTCCCAAGAAGGGAGGAAGGGTTGTAGGACCCAGTAGGGTACTACAGGAAGGGTAGGAATGGGAGCTCAACCACCTAGTGGGGGGATGGGAGCAGGAAGAGTGAGGTCCGGTGTCTGAGCACTCACCAGGCCGTTGAGGTTTTCTCACAGATTGTATGAATATCGATGTAGACATCAATATGGGTCAAGTCAGATGTTACAGGGAAGGTTCACAGTGGTGGCACAATGGTGGCAGTTACAATCGTGGTACAAGGTTTTGGGAGTTATGTATTTGATGAAGAAAGACCTCTTTCGGCATTTGCCTTTACCTGTCATATGACTAGTTTATATCTAATATAAAAGTTGTAATGGTCAAGGGAAGTCCCTTGAAATTCAACAATTCCCCCAGCCAGCACCAAAACCCAGTGGGAAAGCTTGGCATGGGGTTTGGGTAGAGAAATAGGGGAAAACAATAAGGAGGCATACCTGGTTCTACCTGCTTGTAACCATGGACCATAAGATTCTGGTCCATTCCTATAACACTCGGTGTGGTTCTCTGGCATTTGCCAGTTTCTTATTTATCGGAATCTGCATGGATTCCGTTTGAGTCCACTTTACACCCTAGTATGTCGAGTACAGGGGCAAATGGCTCAAATTTTCTTGGGCTCACATAAAGCTTCTTGTCTTTTAGACGAATGTATATCCACAAGAACTTTTTGTTGTGTTGCTTCACTGTCGTAGTTCCAGTGAAGATGTCATCAAACCATATGTGGACGGCTTGACCGATTTGGTCCCTTAGGATCCAAGTCAAAACGCGCTGGAACATGGAGGGGCCGTTACAGTCCCCTTGTTGCAGCACATTGGATATGAAAGTACCATATGGGGTACTCATCCTGGTGTATTGTATGCAGTCCAGTTCGATACGAATCTGTTTGTATGTGTCTGTCATATTGATCTTCAATCGATAAGTAACCCGAGCCATACTGTCCATGATGAAACGCATGTCAGGCATGGGCATGACATCGAGAATAGAGTTCGCGTTGTGATTCCTTGCATCAATTACAGTTCATAAAGAACCATCCTTCTTTGCAAGGCAAAGAAGTGGAGCAGCTGTCGCGACTGCTTTGCGTTCCCACCATCTGGCTCGCTCATAATGAGCGATTTTCTCTCAAAGCTGTGGTTCAAGAGCTTGAGGGCACATAGCCCTCCTTTCTATATATTTTTTATTCAGATCAATCAAGTTGATCCGGTGGTTAACCTCCCTGAATGGAGGTAGGACCTCAGGGGCTGGTGCCATGACGTCCTTGAAACATTCACACCACCAATTCCTGAGTGGCACAAATTCAGGGTCTGTCATTGGCAACCCTTCTAAATGGGAACAGTCAGGAAGCCTGAGGTCTTTCGACCTCAGGCTTGGCCAGTGATTGGGCCACTGGGGGGTGTCCGCATCTTTTTGAGTGGACATGGCAACATCAGCAAACTGTCAGGGGACGGACCCCGGGTCCCCATGACCCCTCTCTCTATAGCCCACAGCTGTCAGAGACCAGATTTAAGACGAAGGAATGTCTCCGTAACGGAGGGCTTTGGCCTCAGCGACTTCTGCCAGGAGCGCTGTGCCTAGTGACACATCCGTGCCCTAACTTACTGACTGGCACCTAGAACCTAGTGGGGGTAACTCTAGTTGATTTGTCTGCTGGGGCGTAACCTATGTACAAGTAGTGTATATATATGGTTACAGCGGAGACGGTTCCGCAATTGGCGGAGCCGGATGGAGCGGAGCTAACGGGGTTAAGACATTAGCCGACTGAATATTACCGACGAGTCGGTTCGCGGGGTTAGCGGAAAGGCAGGCGTTAACCCAGAAACAGAAAGGAGGGATAGGCCCGAAGGTGGACTCTGCAGGGCAGGCGAGTGTATTGCCCAGCGGAGGTGGGAGTGCGCTAGCGGACGTCGGAGCTGTCCGGAAGTCTTCGGGACTCCGTACTTAGGGAGGCGTGGGTAATAAATTGAAATGAGGGGGTGGTGACCATCGAGGGGTACCGAGAGGTTTGCGGAATACGGGGGCTCCGAGGTTGGTGAGGGGGGAGCGGAGTTAGAACGGAGGGGTCGGAGAGCCCGGAAGTCGATGGCCGGGAATGGATATGACAACAGCCTAATCTGTAACAGCCTAGTCTCAAGGCACAACTACTGTGGGTAAGAAAGTGTATAGATAAAGAAGCAGTGTAGAATACACTTGCCTACTGTGGGTAAGAAAGTGAGAAGAAGGTTAACTTCTCACTTTCCCACAGTGGCCCAATATGGCGAAAACTTCCGGGGATACCCGGAAGTCACATGAAGAGTGGGAACCGGGCGCGGAGCATGCGGGGCGGAGCGCACATGCGGGTGTGGGTGCAGGTCTGGGCTAGTCAGGGTGTGTGCCCTGACACAAACTTGGTAGGGAGCTCTTGGAGCTCTCAGAGCTCCCTACCAAGTTTGCTGATGTTTGTGCCGCTTCCACCCTTAGTTTCCCTGTCACCTTCGGCCATCACACCGCTGGTTGACTACCCACCTTCACCTATCTCGCCAATGCTTCATCATCACTTTGTTGGATGGGCCGCAATCCCACTTGTCTTATGACAAGGTTGTTCTCCCTGAGGCTCCGTCGATGTCAGGGCATGCCCCGACATGCCCTGTCCGACCCCTGCTCTGCTTCCCTGCTCCGCACCACTTCTTCCTCCTTTCCCTTTTCTTTCTTCTTTCTTTCTTTCTCTCTCTTACATGGACCACCTTTCCCACTGTTCAATGTATCACTGGTGCGCATGCCCATTCCCCCTCCTGTATCTTACCATCCCTATATCGCCATCACCACCGCCACACTCACCCTGCACCCACAGCGGACCCTCTCGGGATCTCCCACAGAGGCACCTGGAGAGCCATGGCTGTGTGTGAGGGTGACATGGCATGCCCCACATGATCAATTCCGCATGTATATAATAACAGCTGGAGTGGGAACCGAAGAAGTAGCCTTCTGTCAGGGATCAGCAATGACCCTGGACCCTATGCCGGCAATCCCCACCTACTCCGCTTACTTAAGCCCCAGTGGCCCAGATCATCTCCGGCATTGTTCTGGAACATTCTATGATCATGTGATTCTATCGGCAATCTGTTTGGTTTCCTTATTGCGGGACTCTACATGTACAGTTCTCCAATAAACTGTTGCAATGTTTTGCACTTTTGACTTCATGACCTTATAGCATGATGATAATGTATTCTAAAATTTCAAAAAAAAAATCGAAACATGTAATAGTATCCCATTTAAATATGTACCAATTATGTAAGCCATATGTCCATTTTTGGTAATGTTATGTAATTTACAAACCACCCAGGTCATTGCAACGGTTTATTGGAGTACATTTTTGGGAAGGGAAAATGGCATTAATTAATACTTTGTATAGCCACCTTTTGCTCTAACCACTGCCTCAATCCTCCTAGGCATACTCTCAATCAGATTCTGGCAAACACTTGGATCTATCCTATCCCACTCCTCCTGGAAGTGATCCCACAGCTCCTGAACACTACTTGGAGGTTCTTCATATTCCCCAAGCTTCCTCTTCACATGATTCCAGAGATGCTCGATTGGATTGAGGTCTGGAGACTGTGAGGGCCACTTCATGACCTCAATACAGTGGTTATTGAACCAGTTTTGGGCCTTCTCGCTGGTGTGTTTGGGGTCATTGTCCTGTTGGAAGAGGACATGGGCTGGGTTTTTGTGGTGATGTGATATGGTTTCCTGTAGTTCCTCATCCAGAATTTGGCAGTACAGGTCCCCATCCATCTTCCCATCAATCTTGCATGCCATTCCAACCCCATCCCAGGTCATACAACCCCATACCATGATGGAACCTCTGTGATAACTGCGCAGCGCGATACCTCAATTAGTGAGGTATCAGCTGCTAGCGCAAGTCCGGTCCTTATATACATCTTGTAATGACTCTACGCCACTGAGGTGAAACATAAATGGTAAACAACAAGTTGAAAACAAAAGCGCAAAGCGCAAAAACAAAGAGTCCAAGAGGTTGCTGCCGTTTGTACCTCAAAGCGCCCCTCCCCTTCCCAAAGCGTGAATGTCTGGCCCGGGTGACTCCCTTGACCACCAGTGGGGTTGGGCTGCAACTTCTAACAACCTCCACCAAACTTTTTTGTGCCTTGCACCAACCTGTCAGTGAGAGGCTCCCCCACCCGCTTTCCCACCCATTTCCTCCCATCTGAGCCCAGATGATTCACCTTAGTCTCATCAGACCATACAACTCTCTTCCAGTCCTCTAGAGTCCACTCCTTGTGGCTGAGGGCAAAATCCATCCTGTCCCTCTTGTGACACCTGGTGAGCATAGGCCTTTTTTTCTTCACCACTGCTTTCCAACCAGCTTTTTTGAGCCCTTTACATACAGTCTCAATGGAGAGGGATGTGTCATTGATGTTTCAGAGTATTTGGGTGACTTGGGATGAGTTGTCAGCCTTCCCAGAGTTGATGAGACGACAAGCATGGTGGATATCAGTGTCAGAAAGCTTGGATGGACGACCACCACTGGGCTTGGGAACATCAGAATGGTGTTTAGACCATAGGCGAGTGACAGTGGAGTAATGGTGGCCAGTAAGAACTGAGATTTGGTGAGCACTATGGCCAGAATCAATGAGGGAAAGGATTTGTTCAACTTTTGAAGTGGCTAAAGGATGCATTTTGGATTTGGGGCCTTATCATGTGAAGTCCTTCAGTATTTATGCTTTATTAATGTCATTTTGTTTACTAGTGTGTACAGTAAACAATATCACATGACATGTCACATGATATTCCTATTTTCTGTTCAGCCTGGGGGTACTCCAATAAACCATTGCAATGACCTGGGTAGTTTGTAAATTACATAACATTACCGAAAATGGGAATATTGCTTACATAATTGGCAGATCTTTAGATGAGATACTTTCCCATGTTCTGAATATTTTTTTGAAAATTTAAAATACATTTTCATTGTGCTATAAGGTCATGAGTTGAAAAGTGAAAAACATTGCAATGGTTTATTGGAGAACTGTATATAGCTGACTCTAAGATGGGGACATCCCTTTCCCCCAGCTTTAATCACAACTAGGTTATTGGAGCAATCTGCGTGAGCACACGCATCCCCTGACACCTTCTTCTCACATTCCCACTTCAGACTAAGTGGTCAGGGACGCTCACCCCGCAACAGGACCGCTGCTACACATAGCTGCTACTTGTCCCACCGAGTCCCACACACCGGGACCTCACCGCTTTCGGAGCTGTCCCTGACAGTCAAGCAATGGTTCTTGAACATACTGTCAAGAACATGCGAGGAGGGCAGTGTCCCTGGACCTTTCCCCAGAAGGAGGCCAGAGGTAGAGAATGAGCAGAGGGACCGCAGCCTCAGCGACTCGGAGAGGAGCACTGTGCCTATGTTCAGTAAATGCTTGGGAGTCTGGTCCTTAACTTCAGAACAAGAGGGCGCAAACTCTGGGGGGTAGTCTAGTCGTCAATTTTGCACTGAGGTGCCATCAACTACAGTACAGGACTTATATACATAATGGAAGACAAATGGGAACAAAGGGGAAAACCCAAGGGGGACTTACCCACTTGCCGGGTCAGCAAGCTTGTGAGAGAATTGCCTTATCAGGCATTGTGGAGTGGGTAGGTGAAGGGTGGAATTAGCGACAGCTACTAGAAGTGGGAAAACCTTTGCAGAGTGGGTGGAGGCCCTAGGAGGTCCGTAGTAATATTGGGTAGATAGAAATATTAATAATCGTGTAGGATGAGGATAAGAGGTACCATGAGCACCTGAGCACCCAAGCCCTGCACCCTCCAACTTTACCAGTCACCAGCTTCACCCCCCGCTGGCTGACACCCTGCCTGGCCGTCACTGGCCTCACATTATGGGCTAACACCCCATTGCTGTCAACCTCTCTGCCAATTCCGAGGGTATACCATGTTTTATCATGGGTTTAACCTTAGGACCGACTTTGAGGAAGAACCTTTGCTATTCTGCCTGTGTGTGGAATCCCGAACACCCGTGGTAGTTTATTGGGAATTACCCTGATAGCGCTGCACCCTCCGGCTTCAGCTATTTTGGCTTTTCCAATAGTTGAAGTACTATCCCAACACCATGATGTTCCACCACTGTCCCCAGGAGACTGGTACAGGCCTATAAGCATAGTTAGATGATGGGACATCTTCCCTAAGAGGGGGATAAGGACTCCGCACCTAACAACTTTTGGCCCTCAACCAGTTTTCACCTAGGAGTTTTTGCCACATCGTCCTGTCAACCACCGCACCGCTATAGCCTGGAGCAAGCCCATGCATGACACCGATCCTCCCTCACCACCTGGATGTCACCCCTATCCATTCCTGACCCTTCAGTGCCTGAGCGCACACCCCTACAGTTCTCTCCCGACCTCATAGGTCAGTCATTGCAGAAGGCCTAGTATGGCCGACTCCTGTATCCAACCCCCAATGACCTCTGAGCCTGTATCTGATGATACAACACCACCGGTTCCGAACCCACCTGGCCGGATCCTTGTAACCCAGTTGAGGACTAGATGTCTTCCTTCACCCATGCCTAGGTACCCCACTCCGAGCCTGTGTGGCTCCCCCAGTTGACTCTGATTCCCCAAATGGCCATGGGACTCCATCCCATCAATCCCGCTATCGCCGCTTTTGCTGTAATTAACATAGCGGCATGGAGTACCTCCTTGTGCCATCACCAAATGGGATCCCGAGTCCTGTGTTCCCGTTCTCCTGGTAATGCTGCTGTCACTTAGTGTCATGGCCATGCATTCCAGCCCGTTAGCCGCCCGTCCCGATGCCGCCCAAGCCCATTCCTGCTACACGAGCCTGAGCGCGAGCCCCAACCTCAGCCCTATCCTCCATGAGGACTCCCTGCTCACTCCCCCACTTGCCCCTAGGCTCCCCTGCACCTGGCCGACTCCCCCACAGCCACACCAACCTCCCCACCCTGAGTCCGCCTCCATTGCTGCTGTAACAGGGAATTTATCCCAACGTCACACAGGCTCACAGGGGGGACAGTAATCTCCTGCCTGCCTCTCTCAATCTCACCAAAGGTCCTTGTAGTACGGTGCTGTATAGTTGTGGCTGTGCAGTCATGGGACTACCCCAACTACACTCGCCAATGTATGTACATGAAAGAATGAAAGAGCACTGTTTTGTAGTGCAAGGGTTTATCCCTGCAACACCGCTATTGCAGCCCTACACTCCTTCCTTTATTTATCTATTATTGTTTGTTTTGACCCTTGGTCATTGCCGGCCGCTGTGTGGCCAACCCCGCTCCTTATTCATGTTTGCTTCCGGACCCTTCGGCCTTCGGCCCGGGTCCGCTCCCATTCATTCTTTCCTCCTATATATATCCTGTATACTACATTATAGTACTTTAGCTCTAATATCGATTTGACCACAACCCCTCAAGTCCTGACCCCAACAAGGCAACCCCAGTAAGTCTGAAATGAGGGCCAAGAGACAGCTAGGGGGCACAGTGCTCCTTTAGAGTCGCTGAGGCCAAATGCCCTACCCTCGGGCCTTGTTTGCGGCATCACGGCCATCGTGGCCTATAGCGGCCCGCAATGGCGACCTTCGGTGCCGACCCCAGACCAGTGTCTAACACTTAGCCAAGTTTCATACTAGATGCCGCAAATCAGCGCATCCCTGGCCCATGGCAGGCTAACCATCTGAACACCCTGAGCGAGTCTACCCTCGGCCTGTGCTCCAGCACTCTGAGGACCTCATCTCAACTTCACCATTTCCTTCCGTGACAAGTTTGCACCATGCCACAGCAGTACCGAGCCTTGTACTGCCACATGTCAGGGATGCGTCCGGGGTGGAGGGGGCCCAGATGTAGCACCCAGCAGAGGGACCCCCTCGGGGTGCGAAGCGGGCGTGTGTGCTGGTGGGCCCGATGTGGGACAGCAGTCCCTGGCCACTTATACTGAAGTGGAAAAGGTGAGAAGAAGGTTACTTCTTCAGTTCCCACTTCAGGTACATTTATGTACATGCGGCTTGAGTCACATGATGGGTGCCACGTCATCCTCAGAGACAGCCGCAGCCATCCGGGTGTCCCCACAGGGGATCCCGAGGGCATCTGGTGCAGGTGCGTGTGCTAGGCACAGCAGGGAGCCGTCTGGGGTGTCTGGGCCGGATGGGTCAATAGTACATTGATGCAAGGGAAAGTGGTCTGTGTAAATAGAAGGAATAAACAGGAAGAGAATGATGGGAAGAGTGAAATAAAGAGAAGAGAAGAAAGAGAGAAGGGGGAGGAAGGGGGAGAGAAAGAGGGGGGAAGGAGGAAGGAGAAGGATGGGCAGTGGGGTAGCAGGTGAGGTGTGGCCAGGTGGACCGGGTGGGCCCGGGTCAGGCAGGTGTGCCCTGACACCGCACCGCTGGGAACTCTGTCACATCCCACCCCCCTGGGCACTATGAGAGTCACTTATGTGGTCTCCCATGTGTCATTGTTTGTGTTAGAGACCTGAGCGAGATGAAGGAGTTGTCTCCATGGCAAAGGGCTTTGGCCTCAGCGACTCAGGCCAGGAGTGCTGTGCCAAGTTACATGTCCATGCCCTAATTTACTTACTGGCAACGAGAACTAAAAAGGGGGATCAACTCTAGTCGATTTTATCACTGGAGTGTAACCTATGTACAAGTTAAGTATATATATAGTTACAGCGAGGGCAGGCCTGTGAATAGCAGGACCGAACAGAGCGGAGCTAACAGGGATAGATGTTAGCTGATTGAATATTACCGACAAGTTGGGTTGCAGGTTTAATGGAATGACAGGTTATGACCCACTGTCAGGGATCGCTCATCAGTCCGAGTCAAATATCGCCCGAAAACCTAGTCATAGACAAAGCTGAGGTTCCAACCCTCAGCGGCACATAGAGCTATATACACGAGTGACATCAATCAATCGGAAGAGACAGGATCAAAGGAACTAAACAATGATCCGATAGAAAATGAAGTGAATAGAGATGAAGGAACACTCGGATCAGGGGGCAGAGTCGGATCAGGAGAAGGTGAGGGATTTACAATATATGAGGGCCGATGCGGCTACATGCGGTGATATAGTCTTACGCAATATCGATAGGGTAACAGAGAACCGCTTATGCTATGTCCCCTGACACCCACAAGCGGAAAGGAGGGATAGGCCTGAAGGTAGACTTGCAGGGAAAGCAAG